AAAAACAAATCACATGCCGAAAAAAACAAAAAAAATGATCAAAAAATGACAAATTTGAAAAAATCCGTGAAGAACACTGTGCAACCCGTGTTCTTCACCGACTCGCCGATTCCGCACAGTGAATCGGCGAGTCACTGTACGGAATCGTCCGGTTCTCTCTAGAACCGGACGATTCCCGTTTTTTGAACTGATCCGGTACCTTTTTCGTGAATTCCGAGTCAAACCGAGCGAGTCGGCGATTTTTTAAACGCTGGAATTGACAGAAAAAACAGGACAAACATATACACAGTAAAGGATCATAAAGTTGAGTGCGATACATATACCATCCGCCGTTGTCAACAATGGCAGACGGCGATCTTTCCCCTGCTCAAGGTGTAGTTGGTACATGGAACAGATTGGACGGTATGGTACATGTACTATACAAACATAGAAGTAAATAATACACTACCGGCCAATGAATAATACAAACAAGTGTACCACAAAAAATTAGACTTATAAGAAAATCATTTAAAAATATTCACAATTCACAGAATTACAATCAAACCCGTAACATTTACTTCTTATCATTTCCGGTAGATCCATAATATCAATTAAGTGCAAAAAAAAAAAAAAAGGCGAAAAAATGGAAAGCCAAATGAAACTCCGTCTCGATATTCAGTGATATTAGGACGAAATTTAAGAATTTCATTTTTCTCCTCAGGAAATTTCTCAGAAATTCGAGCGAAGAAAGGCAAGAATCCAGCTTCTGTCGGGGAGTTCCGGTCCTGGTTTTGGACCTCTCCTAAAGAAAAGCCGCTTTTCAATTCGATATTTCGGCTTCATTTTGCTCTCAGATCATATACCATAGATCAAACCCCAAAACAACAAATGAAATGAAAAAGGTTTTTCAAGAATCAGGTGAAAGATCTATCAATACAAAAACCTCAAAGAAATCCCATCCATTTTCAATTAAAAAACACTCCTAAAAACCCATATAAAAAAACCCCAAAAAAAAATAATCGCATAAGATATATATCAGTAAGAGAAACCCTTACCACGATGCTCGAGAATCTAGGATGCCTCGCCATGGTTCTCTCTAGCCCTGCCATTACAGCTTCAATATCGGTGACTTTTTTCCCTAATCCTAACATACAAAGAATACTGCAATTGAAAAGGGGCTGCTTAAAGAGACGAGCAGCCGGGCTCAGTGGCTGAGGCTCCTCTGTTTCCATTGTATCTTCTTCTTCCTCTTGTCCTTTTTCTCCTACAAGGTTTCCATTTGGGGATTTTGATGGGTTTTTCCTTCATTTAAAGTCGCCATTAAAGCCCATTTCAGAAGCTCAAAGGAGAAATACCTTTAAGGAGACAAAAGCATTTTAAATCAGGTAAAGGAGTTTTTTAAGCTGGTCAAGCTTCGATAACAAGAACGAGGGAGACAGAGTGTGCATCTTTACACAGCAGAATTAGACGACTTGAAGCATGGTGAGTATTAAATTAGGGGGTCTCCTGCTTTATAAAAATTAGCTTTCAATATACATTGTGGAAAAATATATTAAAAAAGATATATTTTGTAGCCCTTAAAAATATAAATTGTACATGCATCCTAACCACAATAAATCCTACAGACATAATAACCACAATAATTGAGATTAACAAATCTCAAAAAATTTATCTATAGTAGATTTTAAAGGAGCCCACATATCGATACATATATATGGAAAATAGTTTGAAAGGGCTGGACCATTTTTTAAAAACCGGGCTATCTAACCACTAACCGATTGGTTAGATCGGTAGTGGCAAGTGATCGATTCCGGTTTTGAGCTATTTTGGTGATCGAAAGGTCTTTAAAAAAAAAAGTCCAAAAAAATGTATATAAATTCTCCAAAATAAAAACTTTGGTTTGTAATGTATTTTTAACCTGCTTTATATTATGGTAAAGATTAAAAACTATTTTTATCATTAATATTCATTCTAATTCAAAAATCGATTCATTAAAATCTATTTTTCCATTAATTTTCAACTTCATTTGAATGTGTTTTGTTTTAATCATTCTTTATAAGCTTTTCATATTTTAGTAGATTTTTTTTATATTTTTTTAACACGTTTTTGACCACCTAGATCGGCCAGTTTACCAGTTAGGTCTATTAATCGCTTCCCGACCCAAGTCTGGTAACCGTTCTAGGTCGATTTTGCAAACACTAGGTTGGACATTATCAAACTAAGTAAAAAAAAGTTTATATAGAGCCAGGTTTTAAACAATCAAATTAGAGCCCACCTCAAAAACTTCACTAGAAGATGTTGTTTTGATGCCCAAATATCCTCAAATTGATCATTTCGACATTCAAGATGTATGGACATGAGAAAAAAAATGGATTTCAAGTTTTGAAAATAGTGGATTTTATAACGCATTTTTAGCTATCAATTTTCAAGATTTTCAAGTTTTCATAGATTTGCTCGATCTATTATTTTTTAAGCTTGAAATTTTATAATTAAAGTTGAAAATATATATTAAGGCTATCACAAAGATTTCCAGTATTGAAACCACATTTTTTTATGCTATTTGAAGGTGCGCTTTACTTTGATTGTTTACAGCCTCGCCCTACACAAACCGCACCCAATAAGTAAAGCCTCATCTCATAACTCCTTGAAAATTATAAGTCAATCATTTAAAACTTTTACATGGATCATATGGGCTTGAACATTATGGTTGTGAAAAAAAAACAGGATTTTAAGCTCTAAAAATAGTGTATATTATAACAAATTATCTAGACCATCTATTTTACCATAAAAATAAGTATCCATAGATCCGCAAGATCAGTACCACTTTTTAGTTTCAAATTTTATTGCTGGAGTTGGAAATTGATTTTAGATCCATCATAGAGATTTCCATTGCAAAAAATTACTTTCCCTAAAAGTTCTTGAGATGAGGCTTTATTTTGTTTCTATAAAGCCTAGGGCTTATAGAAACTTCATCCATATAAAATACACTAATATATATATATATATATATTTACCATGTTTTTATTTAAATTATGTATGTTACATATATTACATATGGAAAACGTTTATATAAGGTTGCAACTTTAAAATGTAGAATTAAAGATGCACCTCAAAAATCAATTATAAAAGGTTGTTCGGATGTTGAAAAACCTTTTAATTGATCATTTTGATATCTTGCACCATATTATCTGGATCGTTTATTTTCAAATTTTTCATGTGTTTATATATCTACTTGTACCATTTTTAGAGTATAAAATTTTATAATTAAATTCTCAAGCCATCCTAATCATTTTTTTATATCCAATTACATTTATGATAGAATTAAGAGATGTGCCTTAATTGGATTATTTAAGGTTTCAACCATATACAACCCACACTAATTGTATGTTTATATTTAAATTATTAATATATATTTTTTACATACATAATATATATAATATATATTTGTATTACATATAGTATATTTATGAAATACAATATACTTATATAATACATATTTTATTATTTAATATATTTTATTAATATAATAGATATTTAAAATAGGAAAATTGTTTCATGCGGGCTGGACTGCATATCTACAATATGCGGTCCAAACGTATAAAGCATCCATTTTAAAGATGGATACACATAGGTGGTCCATCTAAAAACAAGTGTAACTAACGGTCCAAATGTTTTTTTAATATAATTATTATTTTTAGATTTCAATTTTTCTTTTTTTTCATATCCGTGATCTCAATATTAAAGATTATATATTCTCTAAAAATTGGATCAAATTATATTTAAAAAATATATTTATTGGCAAGCCCGCATTTCCATAATATGCGGGCAGGCCGCATAGAAACTGTGCTTTAGAATATTATACAAATATATATTAATAAAAAAAATATAAAATACATATAAAATACACTAGAATATATATTATATTATATTTTAAATATATATATATATTAATATTAATATTTATTTAAATTTAAATTTAAATTATTCATATGTATTTTTATTATACATAATACATTTAATATATATTTGTATATATAAAGAAATTTCCTCAAACCTTCTTTACTGCCTTGTGCGTAAGAAAAACAATTTCATCTACAACAATAGAACTTAAAATAGAAATTTGGTCCTCGAAGAGGACCTCTTCCTCAAACCCTATTTTGCCTCCCTCCTTATATT